CCCCCTCTATTACCAGCCACCTCGGATCCGGGGCTCCCCCACCACCCCACCTTTTCCAGAACACCTCTCCCCCAGGCTCCGCCTCCCTCTGCCCGAACTTTCCAACCTTCCCGGAATTCTTCCCCAGCCCGTCGTCAAAACCGTCCCCAGCCTTATCCCCACCTTCTTCCGTCCCCTTCCAATCTCCTCCTCCACTCAGCACAGGGCACCCCAAATCCATCTCACTTGGAAAACTTATTCACAGCTCCCAAAATTCATCCCACCAGGGCTCCTTGGCACCCCCAACCACTCCCGCACCCCAAGCTCCTCTCCGCAGAACCACGCCGCTCCTGGGGCCCTGTGCGCGCCTCTTCCCGGTCCCCCCCACTCCAGATACCCCCCAACTCCAGACTCCTAGAACCCTGGTCCCTTTAGAACGCCCCCGGCCCGAAGCTTCCACAATTCCAATCCCTTTCAGACCTTCCTGCACCCCAAGCACCCCCTCCCTCCTGGAGGGTCTCTGCAGATCTCCGAATGAGTACCCCGAGCCCACAAACACCAGACCCCCGGGTTTCTCTCTCGACCCCCCGAGCATGGCCATGCTCGGCCCCGATCCCATTTCTGAGTCTCCCTCTCCCGCCAGTGCCTCCCTCCGGCTCCCCGGATTCCTTTTCCCAGACTTCCATGTTCCCTCCCCGGCCGCCCATGATGTTTCCAGACTCCCAATCCCCCCGCTCAAGTTGCCCGATTCCTTTGCACAACTCCAGGGCGCCCCGGCCGGCCCCGCCGATGCCTGCCCGGGAGGCGCGGGCACCCCACTCGGCTCCCGGGACGCCCGCGCCCCTCCCCGGCCCCAGCCCAGCCCATCCGGCCCGGGGGCCGCTCACCTTGCGCTGCTGCTTCTCCCAGGCCGGGTCCAGCAGCAGGTCCCGGTCCCAGTCGTCCTCCTGGGCCATGTAGTCGCCCATGCTCCCCCCGCCGCCCGCGCCATTGCCCGCGCTGCTGGGGCCGTACTGGTACGACTGGTTCGCCGCGTGGTAGTCCACCATTCCGCCGCCGCTCGCTCGCCCACCAGCCCGTCCGCTCCCGCCTCAGCTCCCGCCCCTCTGGCCGCCGCCGCCGCCGCCGCCGCTTCAGCTGCTAGAGCCCGCCCTCGGCCCGCGCCTGCGCACTGCCCGCCGCGCCTGCGCCCCGAGCCCGCGCCGCCGCCCGCGCCCCGCCCCTCCGGCCGCGGCCCGACGCCGCGGGCGCCGCGCTGCGCCTGCGCACGGCCGCCGCGCGCGCGCGCGCGCCCGCCCCCGCGGTTCCTCCGGGCGCGCGCGGGGGGGCGGGGCCGGATCATGAATGATTCATAAGGCGGGGTCCCCGCGTCAGGCCGTAACCTGTCGAGAGTGGGATGGATTTCGCCGCAGGAATGCCACAAATACTTATTAAACGCCTTCTGTGTGCCCGGCCTTGCTTTCGGCGCTCAGCGAGACCGACCCAAGTCCCTGCCCTGGCACCCCTCCCTTCCCCGACGAACAACACTGAAAGTCTTGGACTCACATTCCCAGGCGGTGTTAGGGACAAGAATCAAGCGGGAAATGGAACGCGTGGTCTGGGGTGTGTGTGTGTGTGTGTGTGTGTGTGTACGCGCGCGCGCGCGCAGGGAGGAGAGGGGTCTGAACGATTCACGACATCAACTAGGTTAGAATCGATCCCGGCTCCCTGGGCAGATAGGGGGGCTTTGGGAGGTTTGCTTGTCTTCATTCATCCAACCAGTTTTTGTTGGCACCTGTCCGAGAGCACTGGACTCAGTATGAGTAGTCTAAAGTGGCTTACGTGTGGGTTGCGGGGAATGACACGGTCCCTGCCCAGCCCGGATTTTGACTCAGACGAGACGCCTGGGGCTTCTGCCAGACCCACAAAGTCTTCCCTCTTCCCGTCCGTGGTCATTCCCTTTCTCAGATACCTCGCCCTTTGCTCTCTTGGGCTCCCGCCACGCTGCCAATGCATGGCCTCGCTCCTCCCGTGCTCCAGCCGGGTATCCAGTGAGACCTCGTTATCACCACCGCTAACACCTTCCTGGATACTGCGTTTGTGGGAAGCTCACAGTTGCCTGTGTAGAAATATCCCTCCTCCGTGAGACCTGACCATTTCAACTAAAATAGCACACTTTCCCTGTGTAATCTTTTCCCTCATATTTATCACCACTTAACATAGCACGAGGCATGGATCCCGGTCTCTGCCCATCTCCCCAAGAACGTCAGTGTGGGGATGCTGGCCTGACACTGATGTATCTTTAGTCTGCAGCTGAATAATTCTCCACCCTGATTTAAAAAATCTCCCTGCAAGGCGTGTACTCCGCCACTTTAAGCCACATCTTCTGCCCCTCATCTTTTTTTTAGTGGGGGTCACACCACCTGATACTCAGGATTTACTCCTGGCTCTGCATTCAGGAATTACTCCTGGTGGTTCTCAAGTGATAATGGATGCCAGGGTCGAACCTGGGTCAGTCATGTGCAAGGCAAGCATCCTACCTACTGTACTCTCCAGCCCCCACCCATCATGACTTTAAATCTGTTTGTTTATGCGGGGCTAGATGGGCAGGGAGACCAGCAAGGATGCTAGGCGGTCCTGCCATGGGTGACAGTGACCAGGGTTCTGAAGGGGGGCATGGTGAGAATTTGGAGGCAAGAAATCGACACTTACTATCCTGAATTTGAGGAGTGAGGGGGGGGAAGGGGGAGAAAAAGAAGGTTCTGGAAGGCTTAGGTTTGAGGACTGAGAAACCCTTCTGGAACACTGGGCAGGACTGGGGGAGGGGTTAGCAGGAAGTGTGCAGTTCAGGACATGAGTGACTGGAGTAAGGGCTACTTCCGGCCAGAGGGGACAAGGGACACATGCTTCCTCCAGGTATGAGGGTTGAGGCCTGGCTCCCTCACCCCTCCCAAGGGATGGAAGGGGACCAATGGGGAGGCCAGGGCCCGCTCTCCCAGGGGAGGCCATGACCTGAGACCCATGAGAGCTACTGTTCCCAGGGCTGGGCAGGGCAGCCCCTTCCTGCCTGACTTGGAGAACCAGCCTAGGACTTTTGTGCTGGGCCTGGCTGGCGAGGAAAGGCCATTTGGGCATTGGGCCATGTGTCCCTCCCTGCCCACTCCTGGTGCATTGGGAAAGCGCTGAGACAAGGGCCCATAGACAAGGTGCTGGCTTCGGTCAAGAGGCTTAAATGGAAGGCGCCCTTTAATTGCCATCCTTGAGGTTCCTTCCCAACAGCCAGGGACAGTGCCATAATAATAGGTGCCTTGCAGCGGTGCCAAAAGGCCTGACCAGCGGGCCCCCAAGGCAGCCTCAGGTTTCTGAGCCAATTCTTGGGTGCCCCAAGAGCAGTAGGAATGTGCTGGGTGCCCTATCCCCCTGGTAACAGGAAACAGGAGGTGGCTGGCCGTTTGCACCAGGGTGACAACACAAACAGACCGGGGTATTAAAGGTGACAAAGAGCCATTGCCTAGAGCAGCCTGAGTCCCGGATGGCAGGACTTCTTACAGGATGCCAAGTCCTGCAAAACTCTCCCTATGCACCAGGGAACATGGAAGAGGGGTGCAGTTGAAAAACTGGGGCAAGCACGGCAAGGCCTGAGGTTGCCCTAGAGCAACCAGGCTGGGCTGAGCCCCGGCATGCTGTAGCCCACAAGTAAGCCCCGTAGCCAATGGCAGAATCGGTCAGGCTCCACTAGCTAAAAGGTCACTTCATGACCTCAACTGGGCAGTCAGACCCAGATACCGGCTAGGCCCTCCACCAGGCCATCAGCCAAGCGGGGGTGTGGGGACGGCACTCACCCGCACAGGGGTGTCCTGGTCATCCCGTCAAGTGGGTTGGTTTATGCCGCGCCTGGGCCTTTCCCTGCCTCTGCCCAAGCACTCTTTGTGCCCAGGATTTGGGCACACCCTAGTTCCTGGCTCCTGCACAGGCCTGGCACTGGGGGCAAAGGGTGGCCGCCCTGCCCTTCCTCCCTGTCTGTAGCCTCAGAGGAACGAAGGGCAGGGCTGGACAGGCTAGCAGGTGGGGCACCCGCAACTGCCCTACAGAGGCACCCTCTTGAGGCAAGCCCCGAGCATTCCTCTCCTCTTTACCCAAAAGACAGTCCCAGCATCCCCACCCCCCTTCCTCCAGGTGAGCAGAGGGAAGGACACTTGCCCAAGGTCACTGGGCCAGCAGGATGCCTGGAATACCTGGGAGATAAGGAGCTGCCTATAGGCTCCCAAGTCCAGCAGGGAGTGAGTGGGCAGGATTTGGGAAGGAGGCGGTCATGGCCTGTGCCAAAATTCCAATTTTCAGGACTAGTCAGTTTCTTCCAACAGAAGTGAGCTGGGCGGGAGCAGCAGTGCAAAGGGCTGGGAGATGGAGGTCTCACACTGGGGAGTCCTCAGTTTAATCCCCAGGACCACATGGCCCCCCTCCCTCCCTGAAATAGATCAGTTTGAAATAGATCAGTCTAGTTGGAAACCCCAGTGAGGAACAACTCAGCCTGCCACCAACAAGATTTTCCCAGGGCCCAGAGCCCCCTGGAAGCTGCCTGTGAGGTGTGTCTGTGCCTTTAGGGCCTGAACCTTCCCCCACTGTCTCCAGCTGCTGCCTCTGGCTGGGCCCCATCCAAAGGCCCCAGGACAAAGGTCGGCCCCTCCCTCCCCAGGATAAGGACCAGACACCTGGGACCCAGGCTCCCACCCGCCTCCCCTGCTGGGGAGATTGCAGAGGAGCCCAGTGGAGACCCAGAGGCAGAGCCCCTGGCCTCAGCCCACTCAGCCGCCCCTGCTGACTGACTCACTGCCCCCCTACTTGATATGACCTGCAGGGAAGGTGCAGTGGGGTGGGGCAGGGGAGGAAGTCAGGGAGGGAAGAGGGGAGGCGGAAGTCAGCCACAGTCCCCCTTCCCCCCCCAGTCAGAAAGGAGGTGACGCTGGCACGGGGACCGCAGGGCTGCTCCTGGGCTCCCTCTGGCGGGTGAGGCGCAGAGGCAGGAAGCTGGGGAGAAGTCGTTTATCAAGGGTCAATGATCTTTATTGAAAGTGGCCAAGTCACTGGGAGGAGGCCATGATGCTGGACACGCCTGTGGAGAAAAGAAGGGGAGACTAGGTCAGTGTGCGCAGAAAGGCACCCAAGCTCCCACTGCCCAGCACGGTGCCGCCCACAGGCCCCTCTGGGCCCAGGCTCCCGCACAGAGGCAGTCTGGGAGTGACAGTCAGAAACCCCAACTCTGGATCAAGGAGCCCCAATTCAGAGTCCAACTGTGCAGCACTTTCCCTAGCAGACAGAGCCGTGCCATCTGGTGTGTGCCCCTGTGTGCATGTGACCCTGGGCCTCACACAGGCAGGAAGCAAGCGCTCATGAAGCAGGATCAATAGCATAGCAAGGAGGGTGGCTGTCTAGTATGCGGGCAGCCTGGGTTTGATCCCCAGGACCTCACACGATTAACCCTGAGTCCCGCCTCCTAGGAATGGTCCTGAGCACAGAGCTGTGAGTAATCTCTGAAAACTGACAAGTGTGGCCAAAAAAAAAAAGATCTTTTTAAAAAGTCAGTACTCGACGAAGGTAGCTACCCCAGCAGGACATAAAGATTGAAAGGCATTTAGGAATAACGCCCAATGCTATTACTGTCATCGTCCCATTTACTACAGACAGCCATGCAATCTTGTCCTGTCCAGTCCTGTCCTCCCGTTGTTCATCGATTTGCTCGAGCAGGCCCAGTAACATCTCCATTGTGAGACTTCTTGTTACTGCGTTTGGTATATTGAATACTCTCGGTAGCTTGCCAGGCTCTCCGAGAGGGGCGGAGAAATCGAACCTGGCTCAGCCAGGCTGGCTGTGCACCTGTGCTATCACAGTCGGTAGAGCATGAGACTCATGCAATCTTATTCCTCAAATTCCAAATACTGGGTTTCTATTTTTCAGTTTGGGGGCCACATCTGGCAGTGCTCAGGGGTTCCTCCTGGCAGTGCTTGGGGGTCCAAACAGCACTGGGGGTGGACTGTGGATGGATCAATCTCTCCTGCCCTGATTGCTGCTCCAAGTCAAGAAGCCATGCTACACCAACAGGCTTGAAATCATCAGCATCGGGCTGAGACCGTGGCTGAGCCTCCCGTTCAACCACCCAGCAGGGGCAGGATGCCCAGCACACCTTCGCCATTCCACTGAGGTAGTCCCGGGGCTTTAAAGGTCATGGTGATCCGCATCCAGAACACTTTGATGGGGCTTGGGGGGTGGGGGGGGTGTGGAGAGGAGGGCAGGCCTGGGTGCACCACCGAGGCCTCACTCACTGTCAAAGTCGATTTTCTCCACGATGTTCTTGGGCTTGATGCTCTCTTCCTGGCTGCAGATGAAGATCTGGCCTGACTCGTCTGCGCTCCAGCCGTACTTGCTCATCCACACCTTGAGCTGGTTGTCTGCAGGGGACACCGCCACCCAGAGACCCGTGGTCACCCCCTGCCACGGTGCTGGAGCCTCTGCCCGGGCAGCTGGGCCCAGCAGGATCTAGGCAGCATCCTCCCCCTCCCAGCCGGCCCCAAGGCTTGGGCCTCGCTGCCCGGGCTGCTCACTCCTCTCCCAGGGAAACAAGCAGAGCCCTAATTACAGCAGAGCACTTTCTTATCTGCTCTTTTCCCACAACCAAATGAAATGGTTTCAAGATCTGATTGGCCCCTCCCTCCCTGCTCACAGCACTCAGGGTGAGGGAGGACCAATGTCCTGGGGTGGCCCCGCATATCTAACAATCTCCCTCCCTCCACTGCTCCCTCCCCCTCATTCACATGCTTTGAGGGTGGGGAAAGGGGGGCAGACAGGGGACATGATACTGAGGTCGCCTGGGTGATCAGAGACAGCTCCTGACAGGCTCCCCAGGCTGGCTCTGCCTACTTCCCTCCAGAGACCTGCTTGGCGCCCTCCTCACTGCCTCTCTGCAGTGTGGTGCCCAGGCACCGTCAGGCATTCTGCAGTGTGGTGCTGGGTCACTCTCAGGCACTTGCACTGTGGTGCTCAGTCACTCAGGCACTCTTGGGCACGCTGCAGTGTGTCACTGTCAGAACGTATCATGCTTATGCTGTCATGTAAGATGGGAAAGACATGCAGTGTGGTGCTGGGTCACTCGGGCACTGTGCAGTGTGGTGCTGGGTCACTTTCAGGACTCTCAGGCACTTCAGGCACTTGCAGTGTGGTGCTTGGGCCCTCTCGGGCATGCTGCAGTGTGGTGTTGGGTCACTGTCAGAAACTCTGTAGTATCATGCTTATGTCGTCACGTAAGATGGGAAAGACATGTTTGAGGGTGTGGTTTCCCCAATACCCAGAAGCACTCAGGCTACACTGGCTACGTGCTCCAGGCACCAAGTCCAGATCGTAGAGACTGCTACCTTGGCTGGCCCGTATGTTGTCACTGTGTCGTATCCAGCACTGCAGGAGCTTTGCTCCAGATGGCTGAGAACCTCAAGCCCTCCTTCAGGGAAGGGCACAGTTTGTTTGTTTTCTGGGCCACATCAGGCAGTGCTCAGGGCTTACCCTGGGAACCGCTCCTGGTGGGGTTCAGGGGACCATATGGGGTGCTGGCGATCAAACCTGTCTGTGTGGGCCATGTGGCAAGGCGAGGGTCTTCCCCACTGTACTATCACTCAGGCCCCAGGGCAACTCTTGTGACTCTGTCAAGGCAGAGGGTGCTCTGAGGGGCCCAGGGGCAGGGATGAGACAGCTTACCCGTGAGATCCCCGAGCATCTCGGCCAGCAGCCAGCGGTCAATGTGCTGGTAAGTGATGCCCACAACATGGCAGATAACTGCGGAAATCAGGGCACACAAGCGTTAAGGGACGCCCCAAAGAAAGCCAGGCCTGTGCCCCTTACCCCCCACCAGGGGGAGCCTGTGCTCAGGGAGGGGGGGCTTACATTTTCTGACGGAGTCTTCAAAGCCAGTAATACCCTCCAAGAGATCCATGTTTTCATCAAGGGCTTGCTGGGAGGGGAAGACAAGAGATCAAGAAAGTTTATTTAACTTGGCACCAATTCCCAGAGCACCCATCCACAGCCAGCCGGCCAGTCTCCGTGCCACCCTGCCCCCTGCCTCCCACTGATTGAGTTGGGGCCATAATCTGGATGGCTACAAGCAAGGTCAGTGCCTTGAGCCCTGTACTGTCTCTCCGGCCCCACAAGGCCACTTTAGAGACATAAAACGTCAGCCACTAAATAATGTGCCCCAAATGAGAGGCACCTGGGGTAATCCTCACAGGCAGAACCCACTTTCCCAGGAGAGGGGAGAGCATCACCCATGAATTAAGGGCACCCTGCCCTGCTCCTGTCCCCCGCCCGGCACTACCTCCCTGCTTGGCAGACAGAGGCCCCAGCGTACCTCAGGGCCTCGACTCTGGCCTACAGGGGCTGCAACTCTCCCCATGCCCCACTGCCACCTCCTCAGGGCTACTCCCTTGCCATGCCTTAGGCTTCAGAAGGAGCATGGCCAGGAGAGGCGAGCAAGAGTTGCAGGTCTGCGCCCTTCACGCCCTACCGAGGCCACCAGTTGCCCCCACGAGCGGCTCTCCAGCACGGCCACAGCCCCAGAAGCACAATGACCTAATGCAGAACCCAGCAGCTTGGAGCAGAAAAGTGAAAGGACTATGCGTTAATCCAGGCAATCATTTCTGCCCAGAGGGGAAAGGGTGTTGCTCCCTTCCGCCCTCCTCCCTCTGGAAAGAAAGATGGCGGCCACATGGGAGCCTTGTGGACAGCAGGTATGAGCCGGGAGTGTGGGGGCGACTAAAACCTCATGGGAAGGGGGGCGTTTCGCTCCGCCCTTCACGCCCTACCGAGGTCACCAGTCGCCCCCCACGAGCGGCTCTCCAGCATGGCCATGGCCCCAGAAGCACAAGGACTTAATGCAGAACCCAGCAGCTTGGAGCAGAAAAGTGAACGGACTATGCGTTGATCCAGGCCATCAAGTCTGCCGGAGGGGAAAGGGTGTTGCCCCAGTCGCCCTCTCCTCTCTGGAAAGAAAGATGGCGGCCACATGGGAGCCTTGTGGAGAGCAGGTATGAGCCGGGAGTGTGGGGGCGACTAAAACCTCATGGGAAGGGGGGCGTTTCGCTCCGCCCTTCACGCCCTACCGAGGCCACCGGTTGCCCCCCACTAGCGGCTCTCCAGCACGGCCACGACTCCAGAACACAGAAACCAATTTCTTAACTATCTGACTTTCAGTAGAAATACTTCCAGGGTCAATAGGTAAAATAGCAGAAATCCAAAACCAACATTTAATTCTTGAACCCAGCTGTAGAAAGCAAATCACTTCACAATGCTTTTTCAGCATGTCTGATTGGGGGGGGGGGGGGGAAACTCTAAATAATAGTGGTGAATCTTTTATTGAAACAATCTAATCAAAGCGGATAGAGTGTTAACTAGAATTCATCTGCCTCACAGGGACGGGGAGGGGTGGGGGGTGGGGTTTTATTGGGGTTCTTCATGGGAAAAAATAGGTATTGGTAAAGGGAAATGTGTTTGATATTTGCATGACTGAGACATAGACCTGAAAGCTTTGTAACCTTTCCCACAGTGATTCAATAAATAAATAAATTAATTAAAAAAAAAAAGAGTTGCAGGTCTGGAGTGAGTGTGGCTGGGCATTATGGGAAGGGTCACGATCTTCACCAACAGGGTACTGGGGGCAGAGGGCAGGTCACTGAAATCAAGGGAGGCTCTAAAAAAGGGGACTAAAATGGAGGGGGGGGAGGGAAGGGGCTGAAGACCAGTCACCTTCACTCCAGGAGAACAACGGGGGGGTTCTGGGCACGCCAGCCTTTCTGAGTCAAAACTGGGGAGACGGCAGGGAAGACAGAACAGCAGGCAGGGGGCCTGCCTTGCATGAGGCTCCATCCCTCACATCCCATATGGTCCCCGCCAGGAGTGATCCCTGAGCACAGAGCAGCAAAGTGTGACCCCCCCCCCTCCACAAAAAAAAAGCAAGTCTTTGTGTGTGTAGTTCTAGACATCAAACTTGCAGCAGCCACTTATGAGGCAAGTGCTGCACTACAGAGACCCAGTTCCCAAATCAGGAAAGAGCGCGGGAAGAAGGGTTCAGAGGGCTGAAGTGCAAGCGCCGCGTGCTGGGACCCTGGGTTCAATCCCCACTGACACATGGTCCCCCTGAGCACCACTGGGGGCAACTCCGAGCACTGCCAGATGTGTCTCCAAATTGAGAAAACGTGCCAGGGTGCCAGGAACGAGCTGGGCACCCTGGACAACTGACCCCTACCCCCCAGGAGCTGGGGTGGGGGGGTGTCGCAGAAATAGGTGTGGTAAGAAAGATGGGGAGCAAGGGGACCCCCCCATTAGCCTCAGGGTGGAACTAGTGCAGGGCAGACCAGCCTGAGCAGCAGGGAGCAGCTGAGGAGACCGGGAGGCAGGAGAGAGGGGATCTGCTCAGACTGGGGGACCCAAGGAGCAGGGGCGGTTGAGTCAGCAGCCTCGGGCATCGGGGCAAACACAAGACAAGTTCCAGTGTCCCGGTCAGGCCAGGGATGCCTCGACAAAATACAGCGGGGAGGGCACTTGCCCTGCATGTGGCCCACCCTAATACAATCCCCAGCAGCGACAGGAGTAAGCACAGAGCCAATAATAAGCCCTGAGTATGTCAGGGTGTGGCCTAAAAACAAAACAAAATACATCCAGAGTGGGGGCCGAGGAGCAAGGGGGATTGAGAGCCGGGAGTCACTCCTCAAGGAGGGCTTCATTCCCCATCTAGACTCGGCAGGGGGAGGCGCATGGGGTGGTGGGAGAGGAATAATTTACTCTCAAAGGTGTTCCTCCACCTTTGGCCCAACCCTGTTCCCTTCCTGTGGCCCCGTTTGCCCGACTTTAACCTGTCAAACCCCTCTGAATATCTGGGGGCCCCACATGGGCCCGCAGCTGGGGAACACTGCTCAAAAGCAGGAAGCAGACGCCAGAGCTGTTGCTCGGGGCCCAGGCAGGGAGACAAGAGGGACAGCGTGGAAGGCAGGAGGCATCGGAACTCAGGGTGCGAGCATCGAAGGGGGAGCAGGCACGGGACCCGGCCCGTGCACGGCAGAACGCTCTGTCTTTTTGCTAAGGTCAGAATCACGGCAGAGTTTTGCCATCCCTGGACCTGGCCTCCGCTCCTGTGAATACCACACTGCATGGGGGTTGGTTTTGGTGGTTCTGAACATCCTGAAGGTCCCCCATGCTGAGAACAGGCCCGAGTTTGATGGAGTGAGAGGACCCTGAGGGGCCAGATATGGCTTTCCAGAATCAGGGTGCAAGGAGGCCCAAGAGTGGTTGTGAGGGGGGGCAGAGCGATAGCACAGCGGGTAGGGCATTTGCCTTGCACGCGGCCAACCTGGGTTGGATCCCCGACATTCCATATGGTCCCCTGAGCACTGCCAGGAGTAATTCCTGAGTGCAGAGCCAGGAGTAACCCCTGAGCATTGTTGGGTGTGACCCAAAGAGAAAAAAAAAAGAGTGGTTTTGAATGAGGGCAACCATCTTCCTGAGGAGCCGGACAGAGCCCCAAGGGTTGGGACACTGCTGTGTGCAGACTGGGAGGCACAGGGTTACCCCTGGCACGGCATGGACCCCCAGCAGTGAGCCTTGAGCCACCCTAAGCACCTCTGGGTGCAGACCCAACTACCAACACCTTCATTTTCACGAAGGGATGGGCAAAACGTGAAGCCATGTGAAGGTGGTTTAGGACTGGGGTGGGGGGACACCAAGAAAAAGCAGGAAGGCTGAGGAGATGCAGTGCCCCCCCAGAAAATTGTCAAAGCAAGGGAGGGGGCAGAGGAGCACTGGAGGGGTGGGGGGGCAAAGACAGGGCTTCTGCAGGATGTGGCTGTGTAGGGCAGGGTCGGGCTGGGGGTTCCTGTGGGCTCCTTGCCGCCAACCCCCACATTACCCAGAAGGCCTGGAAGTGGCAGGTCTCCAGCAGGTCTCCCAAGTACAGAATCTGCCGGATGGGCCGCTCGTCTTGCTGTGCGGGTCGTGTTAAGGGAAAACAGCTGGGTCCTGCCATCCCTCTGGCCTGTCCTCCCACAGGCTCGTGCCTAGAGCACAGAGAGACGCAGACACCACGTTCTACAATGCGCGTTGTGCTCACATACACTCATGCAGTGGTCAGTGACAGCCGATCTCACGGTGAGAAGGATCCGGTAAGGAGGGATGAGGACGGCGTAGACGCAGGCGGCCTGCTGGGCTAGCACAAGGACAGACACAGACACAGAGACACAGAGACACACAGACACTCTCTCTCTCTCTCTCTCTCTCACACACACACACTCACATACAAACACGCACTCTGTCTCACACACACATAAACACACTCACACACACACACTCTCACACATTCATGCACTCTCACACACTCACACATACACACACACATTCACGCACACACACACAGCCTCACATACACACTCCCTCACACACATACACACACACACACAAACACTCCCTCACACTCACACACACACACACACACACATGCGCGCGGGCACCCCAAAGCCAGCCACAAGGATACATGAGCCTGGTCGATCATGCACTTGCATAGTGTGAAGTCTGTGTGGGGCAGGTTGGTGAGGGCCTTTAGCAGGATCTGGGCAGTGACTGTCGTCTGGAAGAAGGCTGGGTTGAACTGGTACCTGCAAACAAGAAACAAAATTCCAAGGGCCGCTCCAGCTCTCTCGGCCACTGCCCAGGGTTGAGATGACCTTCAGCACAAATGACCTTCACCTCGTAAAGCCTGTATCTCCACTCTAGAGGGGAAGGGCAGGCCCCAAAGACCCCACCAGGTGGTCCAACAGGTGACTTACAACATAGGAACACGTACACCAGAAGCAGTCTGGAGAGTGGGCAGGGCCCGGGTCCAGGGCCAGACTGCCCAGGATTAGATATCTTGTGTTCCTTTGTGGGGCCATACTAGGCTCAGGGCTTCCTCCTGGCAGGGCTCGGGGTCAATATGGGGTGCTGCGGCCAAACCCGGCTTGGCCCATGCAAGGCAAGCGCCCTACCTGTTGTACTATGACTCCAGCCTCTATGTGGCTGGGTTTAACATTCCCTGGTGGCAGTGGTGTGGGGGGGATGAGGAAGGGGTGGAGGTAGGGCTCTTCCCTGCATACTGGTAATCAACATTCACTCTCCAGCACATGTTCCCCTGGAGTCATTCATCCCTGAGCATAGAGTTAGGCAAAAGTTCCCCTGTACTGCCCAATGTGGCCAAATAAATAAATAAATTAAGGTGAAACCAAACAAATCCTCCTAGGGCCATATGGTTCACCAGGCTCAGCACATGCTTTGTGTATGGGGGCCCATTTCAAGAAAGCTGGAAGCAAACCCTGAGCACTATTGGGTGCTATGGACAACCGCTCCAGCCCCTGAATTGCACATCCCCCCACCCCCGCCCCACCCCTGCTTAAGAAGTTCAAGTTTATTAGAGAGTCCAAATAGATACGTCTGGGTTTCTCATGTACAATGTCACAGTCTCTCTCTGATCCAGATAACCACACCCTGGAGGCCTCCAGTGTATGATGTTCTGTTCTTGTCCCTATGCTATTCTTGCCTTCCCGTGTACACCGTCATCCTCATCCGGAATCCTCCAGCTGTGAGGAAGGAACTCTGTCACCGCGTCTCCTTGCTGGAGCTAGCTGGCCCATAACCCGTCGCTGGGCCTCTCCAAGCCTGCACCCCAGCAGTTCCTTATTGTCCCCGCTTTTCTTAATCTCAGCTACAAGCACTTGGATGAGATCTCTGTACCTTGTCGCTATCTGGGTATACAAGGGGTCCTGGGTTACACACGTTTCAAACTCTCCCTGTACTTTCCTCCTGTACTAAGGGATCAGTAATGGCCATCACTACCTCTGGGTGAACACACACACAGCCCCACAGCCAGTACTGACCACACGGACATGACCTCACCCTCAGCCATCTAAACCAGGGCATCTCAAACATTTTCCACTCACAACCCCTATTCACTGAAAAACACAACACGGACAGACACTGCAAAACATCTTGGATTCCCTTCTTGGTTGACTGTGAATTAGTTTTTGGATGTTGTACACGATGTTGTCCATCCCCCAGTTTTTCACAACTCCCACATTCAGTTAGCCCATATGGGGTAGTGTCCTTGGGTTAAAAAGTTCGGATCTTGGGGCTGGAGAGATAGTATAGTGGGTAGGGTGCTTGCCTTGTAGAGTCAAACCTGGTGTGATCCCTGGCATTCCATATGGTTCCCCGAGCATCACCAGGAGTGATCCCTGAGTGCAGAGCCAGGGGTGAGTCCTGAGCACCACCAACTATGGCGCCCAAACAAACAAAAAACAATGTAGAAGTTCTACCAGCTTCTCCCGAAAACACAAGCATCTTTTCCCTTATACAACATCCCAAGTGAGCCAATGCAATCACATACTGCACAGCTGGTCCCAGGACTGCTGACAGCCAAACTAAGCAGTGCCAGATGTGATCTCAGAAGCCCCCAGACACCACTGGACCAGAGCAGCACCATCACTGGGACCAAGGACTGAACTATCAGGTTTGGTAGGGGCAGGAATGGCCCCGGGACCCCCTGAGCACTATTTGGGAGAGCCCAAACCCAACAAACAAAATATCCCCTGCCCTATCCCAATTTCTTTTGTGTCTTGCTCTTGCAATACCAAGGAAAGGCACCTCCTGCATGCTATGCGGTAGGGCCCAGCAGTTGCAGTGGAGTAAGCCCTAGGACCCAAAAAAAACAAAAGATGGGCAGAGGGGACAGGAGCTGACACTGGACACTGAAGGGGGAGTGTCACTAGCCTGCTCCTCTCTCCTGTCTCCTCTTTCCCTCTGGAGGGCAACAGGCTACCAGTGTCCCCGAGGTTGTAAATCAGTTCTTTCACGTCCAATAAAAGTTACCCACGTCCAACCCTAATCAGCACTGCAGCCCACTGGAGTCCTGGGTCTTCCCTAGAGTATCTCCCAACCTCTCCACTAATGCTCGCTGCAACCTCCATCCTAGATTAAAAATCTAGGATTAAGCACCTTCCCCCTTTGTCCCCTCCAGACCTCACCCTAGTCTTGCCCCATTCTCTATGGCACGGTGTCTTCCTCCCCAGCACCCAGGGCAGCTGCAGGGATGAGAGACGACTCACAGCTTCAGGACGGCCAGGTTGGCTTCCAGGTCATAGGCATTCTCCTTGGCCTGCGTCTCCACGTAGCGCTCCAAAGTGGCCAGGTTCTCAGGATTGTACCTGGAGGGGAGTCAAGAGGGCTGAGCACAGAGGAGCTGAAGCCACAGTACAGTGGGCAGGATGCCCAGCACCCCATACGGTTCCCTGAAGCTGTCAAGTGTAGTGTCTGACCCAGTTTGATGCCCAGCACCCCATATGGTTCCCTGTGGCTGTCAGGTGTAATGGCTGACCCAGGTTTGAACCCCAGAACCACACATGGTCCCCTGAGCCTGTCAGGAGTAATCCCTGAGCACAGAGCTATGAGTATGCCCTGGGAGCCAAAAACACAAAAGTGCAGTAGGTGGGCAGAGGGACAGGAGCTGACACTGGACATTGAAGGGGGAGTGTCGCTAGCCTGCTCTTCCTCCTGTCTCCTCTTTCCCTCTGGACAGCGACAGGCGACCAGTTTCCCTGAGGTTGTAAATCAGTTCTTTCATGTCTAGTAAAAGCTACCACATACAACCCTAACCAGCACTGCAGCCTACTGGAGTCCTGGGTCTTCCCCAGAGCATCTCCCAACCTCCCGGCTAACGCTCACTGCAACCTCCATCCGAGACTAAACATCCGTGCCACCTTCCCCCTGCGTCCCCCTCCAGACCTCACCCTAGTCTTGATCCATTCTCTCTGGCTCAGCTACCTCTACCCCAGCCCAGACCACTCCCTGATGCCCACAATTTTCAGGGGATCCCCACTTAAAACTGGGTTCGGCAGCGGCCAGCACTGACACTGGATGTCCCCAGGCAGGTGTTTCGTGAGCGACCCAAGACTGAAAGGCAGAACGCGAGACTGGGAAGCCCAGAGGGTGGAGGTGAGCGAGGTGCTCCGGGACAGAAGTCCACCTGCACTCAGCTGGACAGTTAAAAGGGGGAAGGCCAAGTGCAGGCGACGCTACCTCCTGCCTCTGCGGCTGCCCGGACGGCGGGAAGGCCCCACCCCCGAGCAAACCCGGGGATCCCGGGTCCCCGCTTCCCCCTACTCCCCACCTCGCCGGGAGCGCCCCTCCGACGCGGCTCAGACCTGTCGATGCCTTTGAGCAACTTGCCCACGTTCGCTCGCATCTGCTCGAACATCGCCATGGCTGCTGTCCCTTGGCACTGCCCGGCGGGAGCCGAACACACGGCCGGCACGGGGCAACCTCGCGGGCCGGAAGAAGAAAAGGTGGCGGAAGCGGAACTACGTCACTGTTTCCCCTCCCACTCGGAGCCCGACGCGTAGGGGGAAGCGCTCAGCGGCGTAGCCACGCCCCCGACTGCCACGTGACCGCGCCAGGCCTGGCGCGTGCGCACACGCTCCACCCGCGCGGGCTCTCCCGCGTGAGAAAAAGCTTCGTTGAGTCCAGCGCGCAGGCGCGTAATGGAGCGGGCCGGCAGGGGGCGGGGCTAAGCTTCTTCCGGGCCCTGCTGAGCGGAGTCTAGGTCCTGAGACGTGCGCGTGAACGGCCCAGGAAGGAGACGGATCTGTCGGCGGGCGCGCGCGCGCGCACCTGGGTTCATTAAACTGATGGAATCGCGCAGAGCAGTCTCCTTTGGGGCGGTGGCTAAGTGCCCTTGGAGCTCTGCTTCCCCGGTGGTGGGTTCCTGTAGGAGGAACCTGAGCTCCCTAAGTCCTGAACCTGCTCCTGAAAGCTCTACCCCAAGACTGTCACTGTCCTCCCGTTGCTCATCCATTTGCTCAAGCGGGCCCAGTAACGTCTCCATCGTGAGACTTGTTGTTACTGTGTTTGGCATATCGAATACGTCACGGGTAGCTTGCCAGGCTTTGCTGTGCGGGTGAGATACTCTCAGTAGCTTGCCAGGCTCTCCGAGAGGGGCGGAGGAATCAAACCCAGCTTGGCCAGGCAGGCTGCATGTAAGACAAATGCCCTACCACTGTGCTATTACTCCAGCCTACCTCAAGACTAGGAGCCCGCAAAGCAGTGCTCTACCTGCTCGATCGCACCCGGTACCCGTGAGAGTCCCAAGTCCAATTAGCCTCCTACAGGGCCTTGAGGATTGGACAGTTGTGCGCAGTCGCAGGTGTGAATGCACAGACCCAGGTGGTAGATGAGGAGGCGCCTGCCCAGGATTCAACCACATGAGTGCGTAGAAGGTATCTAGGCTTGTACTGAGCACAGTCTGCCAGTAAGTGCATGTTTGAACCCCGACCAACAGACATAAGCTTCATGGCCATCCGCGTGCAGACCTGCCATCTCCCGCTTGTGGCCAAACCCACAAGCGTTTAGCAGAGGTTCAGCTGTGGTTTTTAGCTGCCACCTAGAAAGGGGGAGGGGTGTTAGGGCACCCCCACCCCTGCCCAGCCCAAGTCGCTATGCAGATACTTTGCATCAGGTTCACAGTCAGTTCAGGGCCTTGGAGGTTGAGGAGGGTCCCCTGGGTCCCCAGGCTTCGCTGCCCCTCTCAGACTCTCAGGGGACAGGGGGTGGAGCTAGCCACACAGCCCTGCAGCTGGGGCAGGAAACGAGAGTGGGGAGTAGGGAGGCCACAGCCGGTGGAGGCCGGGCGGGCGGGTGCAAGGCTTGTGGAGAGGGAGGGAGGGAGGTGCCAGCACTTGCACTTTGAGGCCCTGCTGGCCCCTGGGCCCAGGTCTGGTCCCAGGGATGGACCTTGTGGGCCCCGACATTTTTAATAGGGACCCCCGCGACCACTATGATCTGCTGCAACGACTGGGTGGCGGCACCTACGGGGAAGTCTTCAAGGTGAGGAATTTCTTCCTACAACCCCTGCAACCCGTGACCCAGGGGGTGAGGGCAGGAGAGGCCGGGAGAGGGGCTCAGCGCCTGCCTTTGGCTTGTGGTGGGATGCGAATAAGAAACGCAGAAGCCCTCAGCCTGCCTGACTGCCAATTCCCCCTTGAAAAAGGCTCGTGACAAGGTGTCGGGGGACCTGGTTGCTCTGAAGATGGTGAAGATGGAACCTGGTGAGGAGGGGGCCCTCCCGGGAGCTCTGACCCTCCTCTTCCTCCTCTCCCAGGCCCCTGGGCCTCCTTCCCCCTCGCTCTTTCCTTGAAGCGCCTTTTCTCACCCACCCTACTCGTAGACGATGATGTCTCCACGCTGCAGAAGGAAATCCTCATCTTGAAAACTTGCCGGCATGCCAACATAGTCGCCTACCACGGGAGTTACCTCTGGTGACGAGCTTCCCACCTGCCCTGAACCCCCCGCCCCCACCCAGCCCCTTGTCCGTACCTCCTCATCGGACCTTTCGTCCTGCACTCCCATTTTTTTTTAACTGGGCACCTCTAACTTGATCCCCAGTTCTAAACCCCACGTTTCTGATCGGAGTACTCCCTAATTTAATTCCCCATCCAGAACTCCCATTTCTGACCAAATAGATCCCTGCAGAGAAGCTATATCTGACGCCACATTCTCCCCACAGATGAATCTGTTGGCACCTTGCCCTTTGAGGGCCCCAGTTTTACTCTATCCTGAACCTCTAATATCGAAGTTAATATCCCAGATACCCTCATAACGACCTCTAGCTCCTAGAGCTATAGTCCCCTGAGCCCCTCTATTCCCTGCAAGATAGGGGACCTCTGTCCTGTCTCCCAAATGAGCATGAGGCGCCAGAGGATGTGCTGGGTGAAAAAGTAGGCCTGGCCGGGAATCAAGCTGAATGTACATGCCCTCTGAGCCTCAACTTCCCTGTCTATAAAAAGGAAGTGGGTCAATCTCACCGAATGGGCAGTGTGTGTGTGTGTGTGTGTGTGTGTGTGTGTGTCCATGGGGGGTGGGGGCGGCCGCTGTGGGCTGACATTGTCCTAGAACTGGAACCAGCAAGTGGGCCAGAGCCTGTGCTTTGAACGGATCCATTCCATGGGAGCGGTGGCTCTGATTCTTCTGGGACTGTTGTAGGCTGCAGAAACTCTGGATCTGTATGGAATTCTGTGGGGCTGGCTCTCTGCAGGACATCTACCAAGGTGAGAGAAGGGGCTGTGTGCCCTTCCACCCACATCTCTCCTCTTATCTCTGTGTCTGTCTCCTTCCTCCGGGTCAGGCCCCCTGGATGCCAGGGAAATGGGTGAGTGGGTGGCCCTGTCTTCCACGGAACCCATTACACAGGCCAGCAGCCATCGTTCTACATGCTTGGTCCTCTTGATGTCCCCATCTTCCATGAGAAGGGGCTTGTGGGGGTGTGAGGGTGATTCCTGCATTTAAATGTTTCTGCATTTCTGTCTCTAGTAAGGGGCCACACATGGCATGAGTGGATGGAATTTTGATTTGCGCCTAGCCTTTGGGGATTTTGAGAGGGAGGCTGTGATGGCTCTGATCTCTCTGATACCCCTCCCCAGTATCTTTAGCCATTTCCCTGTCCTGATCCTGCCCAAGGCCTAGAAGGGCAGAAAAGAACTTTATTAACAGGACCTGAGTGATAGCACAGCGGGAAGGGCATTTGTCTTGCACGCAGCTGACCTGGGTTCGATCCCTGGCACCCTGACAGGAGTGATGCCTGAGCAGAGTCAGGAGTAAGCCCTGAGCACTACCAGGTGTGAGCCTCCCGCACCTTTCTAGGAAGCTGAGGCCCCAGAAAGGAGGTGCCTTGCTGAGCCGGGCTGATGAGCTGGAGGCTGAGTCTGTTCCCTGTTCACCGCTCTCTTTCCTCATCTGCCTTACTGCTTCTCGGTCTCTGATCATCCCTCACTCCGTTGGGATCTGTTCCTGTTTCTCTGTGTCTGTCTGTCCGTCTCTGTCTCCTTCCCCATTTTGCAAAGTCATCTCAGCCCTCCAGTGGGCCCAAAGGGGCACAACTTGCATTTCCCACTAAGGCAAAACTCAGGCTCCCTCGTCTGGTCTGCCCCCAACCCTGTGAGCCCAGAGGCCCCCAGGCTGCTCCCCCCACTTAGTTGCTTCCCAAGCCACCAGGCCTCCTCCTACCTCTCCGCTGTTCCACTCACTTGCCTTCCCCCCAGGAAAGGCTGCACCCTATCACCTCCTCCTAGTGGCCTCTGGGATTGCCCTTGTCAGAGTTCTCCCCTGCAGCCCCAATGCCCGCTGCTCTTCCCTTCATACTGGCCTCTCACATAAAGTAGATTTGACTTTCTTTTTTTACATTTCATCCCCCACTCTGGCCTTTCTTCACTGCTGTTGGGACGTCCCGCCCCTGGCTGGGTACTTGCTGGGGCTTAGCACACAGGTTCAAGTGTGCAGACTTGGCTGTACTGCTCAGTGAGCTTTCACCTTTTCGTGGCTGTGTTCATACACGTGCTTGATGGGGACTGTGCTTGTGGTGCCCGCCAGGGGGCACTGGGGTGCTCACACATATGGTCACCAGGGATCACAGTTCTTTTCAGTTGTGGTTACTTGGGGTGGGGGGGGAATGAAGGGGGCGCCCATTTTTGTGGAACTCACACCTGCCTGGCTGCAGTACACCTGGAAATCACTTGTGGTGTGGGGCTCAGAGACCACTGAGCTCCTAGTTCCAGGCATGATGTATGTGGGACACCAGGGATTTGAACTCAGGACCACATGCTTGCGGAGTGGATATGCCCCAAACCTCTGTACTATTCCTCCAGGCCCTTCATTTTATCTTATTCTTTTTCTCAGAGGGTTTCTCCTGGCAGTATTCAGGGAACCATGCAGTGCTGGGGATGGAGCCTGGGCCCCTGGCATGCAAAGCATGCGCTGAGCCAGGGAACAATCTTCGCAATCCTTTATCATGTTCCTTGTCTGTTTCACTGGAATGTTTTCTCCTGGAGGGCTGAGATTGCTCTCTCTTCCCCAACCCGCCCCTATTTGTCTTACTTTTTTCCTCGGGTATGCAGAGTTCTATCACCAGGGTCCATTGGTTTGTCTTTTATTTATTTATTTATTTCGTCTGTTCATCAACCTTAGATCTTCGTGTTGCATAAGTATTTGTCCAGTTCCTGCAGGCTTATTTCTCTTGGCATACCTCCCCCAGGTCCTTCCACTGTGGAGAATGGGGAAATGTCTTCTGAGCAGTGGCCCGTGGCTTCAGGGCACCGTATTGTTTTTCTCTGACCATCTAGGGCTGGGCACTGGGGTTGTTTCCCTGTCTCTGCTATTGTCAGTCCTATCACCCCAAGGTGGCTCTAACTCTGTTAGCACTTTCCAGTTCTTCAGTTCGCTACCCCGGGCAACTGTCTCTGTCATCTACAGCTCTGTCCCCAGTTGCCCTGCCCACATGCTGCAGATATCTGTACAACAAGC